GAAATAAAAGCCAATTCTTTTATGGACTTCAAATCATTAAAATAACATCATAGAATCAAGTAACTGTCTCTCGGAAATAATGTACTAGTCAAATACCCTAATATTGTAGTGAAAGAGAATAGGAGAAGAACTATATAGCCTTTCAATGGTCTGGAATGGAGTCACAGACCTCCAAACACAGGGGAGGTAGAGAAAGCAGAGGTAGCAAGCCTAGCATATAAAAGAGAGGTAAGAAGGGAAGAATAAGATCAAAAGAATAAGAGAGTATGCCACCTACTGACATTCTTTATCCATCTGAATACTTTACTCAAGCTCTTCTACTTTCTGAAATAATTCCCTAGCGCCCTTCCACTGAAAACACATAAATCACCTCCTTCACATCTAAGCTTAAAACAAACTGCCTCCAGGNAAATGAAGAATTAAAGAAACAGGATCATGTGAGGAAGGTCACAGACCCAAGAAGGTTCACCTAGAGTTTTGGGCTGCTTTTTCTTGAGGATTATGCCAACTAGAGGAGGTGAAAATATGGATGAATGATAGGCAAAGTAAACAGCTTTTCACAGCCAGGCAAGGCCAGTGGGCAATGCCTAGAGTGTAAGGCTGAAGGAGGGAGGGGGAGCAGGGCAGCCTAATAAACCCTATCCATCACTTTGGACTGGGACCCCAAAAGGCTACAATAATACGAGTAAGAGTGAAATGAAAATACACAGACTTTGGTAAGGACTACAGCTCAGCTTTGAATCATCTCAGTCCTGAAACAAGAAGGTTTTCCTGGATTACTAGATAGAAACAAATCCTCTCTGGATGAAAATTAAGTCATCCTAATCCTTAATTTATTTTTACAAACAATTTTGGAAATACTCTGCTAATACAATACGAAATAAGGCACATTAGACATCAAATAACATAATAGAAATGGTAACACATACCCATAGGGACTCTATGTATTTGGAGTTATCAGACAAAACCTTCAAAATAATTCTGTTCATTATGTTCAAAGAGATAAAAGACAAAATTAAGAATTTCACCAGAGAACTAGAACTTTAAAAAAAGGAAATTACAAAAATGATAAAAAGCAAGAAATGAAATTAAGAGCCAAAGGACAGGTTTAACAGCAGATTAGACAAGGTGAAGAGAGAGTTAGTGAACTAAAAGATAGGTCCAGAATGAAACACAAGGAGGCAAAAGAATAAAAACTCAGAAGAGAAGGCAACAGAATAAAATGAGATGGTTGATCATACATACGACTGGAGTCCTCAAAGGAGAGGGAGATAAGACAAAGCAAAATTTGAAGAAATAATAGCCAAGAACCTCTCTGATGAAAATTACCAAGTCACAGATAATAAAACAAACACTATGGACCCCAAATAGGATAAACAAAAAGAAATCCACATGTAGACACATGACAAAAACAGTGCTGAAAATCATACCAAGCAAAACTCCTAAATGCAGCCAAATAAAACGAAAAATTACTCCTCAAAGAATCAGTAAGACTGACTGACTTCTCAACAGAAACAATGGGAGGCAAAAGGAAAATACAATATATTTAAAGTATTAAAAGAAAGTAACAGCCAATTTAAAATTCTATACACAACAAAAACACCCTTCAAGAGTGGAAGTAAAATAAAACTTTTCCACACAAACACAAAGAATTCATCATCAGTAAACTCACAATAAAAGGAAATATAAGAGGGTATTCTTCAGCCAAAAAGAAAATAATCCCATATGAACAGTCACAGATACAAGAAGGAAAGAAAAGCAATGATAAATACATAAATGTGTAGGTAAATCTAAATGAATATTGCCTGTATAAAATAGTAACAATGTCTTGTAGAGCAAAAAATGATAAATTACACAATCGCACTCACATGTAAGTCAGGAAGGTGGATAAATGGAGTTAAAGTCCTTTTACTGTTCAAAATGGTAGAAGTACCATTTAACATTTGACTTTGACAAGTCAAGAATTCATGTTGTAGGGGCCGGCCGAGTGGCGTGATGGCCAGAGGGCTCCAGTTCGGATCCCACATATGAGGGCCAGTGACACTGCCCTCCACAGCTAAGATGCTGAACAACAGCTTGACCTGGAGCTGGGCTGCCATGAGTCGCTGGCGACGCGTAGGCAGCAGCCCCTGCTGCAGTGGGTTGCCATGGGCTACCGTGTGTAGCCGGTGGCCAGCGTGAGCGGCCATCCAGAGGCCGGCGACTGATCTGCCTCACCCGGGAAGAGCGCAATGATGGTGCCAACTTGGGCCAGTGAAGCAACGTCCTAGACTGAAGAACAAAAGGACAGCAACTTGTCTGTTCCCCTTCCCCAATTCCCCAGCACTGTTCCCCTCCCCCAATTTCCCAATAAAATCTTAA